TCTCCCTGCTAGAAGAAGGATATTGTGAAACTTGAAAGGGTTCAGAAAAGATTTACAAGGAAGTTGCCAGGATTGGAGGATTTGAATTATAGGAAGAGGCTGCATAGGCTGGGGTTATTTTCCCTGGAGCGTTGGAGGATGATGGGGTGACCTTATAGAAGATTATAAAATCATGAAGGGCATGGATAAGGTGAAAAGTTAAGGTCTTTTCCCCAAGGTAGGGGAGTCCAAAACTAGAGGGCATAGGTTTAAGGTGGGATGGGAAAGATTTAAAAGGGACCTGAGGGGCAACATTTTCACCCAAAGGGAGGTGCATGTATGGGATAAGCTGCCAGAGGCGGTGGTGGAGGCTGGCATAATTACAATATTTAAAACGCATCTGGATGGGTATATGAATAGGAAGAGTTCTCGAGGGGTATGGGCCAATTGCTGGCAGATGGATTAGATTAATGTAGAATTTCTGGTCGGCATGGATCGAAGGTTCTATTTCCGTGCTGTACGTATCTATGATTCTATGATTTTACATACTGGTTAAGTGAACTTGGTTGCTTACATCAAGCTGTCTAGATTTTATTGACATTTATACTGCTAATTCCCTAGTGAGGCACATATAAATTAAAAACTGAATAAATCATCCTTTATTACCAAGGTCATTAAAATGTTAGACCAATTTCTTTACGACAATACACTAAGAAGCAACTTAATATGTAATATAAGCATAGTCAAGATACTTATGTAACTATTATTAACCAATTGAATTAATACCTGATGTTACTAAAACATTTCACAATATCCAAGATTGACAAGAAGTAGTAAAATTAATTTGTATTAGTCTTTGTGTGTAGCTAACAAATTAATATTGTTGAATGTCATTCAATTGGATATTATTGCAAACCCCACTGAGACCAACACTGCTTAAAAGAAAATCAAACTTCCAGTAGTAGCTGAAACGACACAAGATTCCATGTTATAAAATACTTACATAATACAATATATTGACAAAAATTAATTTTGTAGGCAACTTAAACTTGAAATTACAGAACAGAGTACATGACCTCTTTAATTTTAGCACAACACGTAAAGCACATTCTACAAGTATAAGCTACACATTAAATTTACATTCATTTAACCCAGAATCAGGCCAAAATGATTCTTATCTCCTGAGGGTTTACTTCTATTTCTTTTACAACCCTGTAACAATGTGCCTTTAACTTTGATAAAATTATTGGAGATCCTCACTTTAGTGCTAGATAAATATATCTTTTAGTTTTGTTTACTTTCTTGACAAATTTGTCCTTTCCAATCTGATTGTAAGCTTCACCCTCTATTATGGCACAGTGAACCCAAGAGACTTTACTTTCTGCCTGCTCTCCCTCTTCCTAATCCTGGCAGATGAACAAGCCTGCTATGTTCAGAGATATTTTAGGAAAGCATATACACCAATATGACAAAGTTATATTCTGCGCCCTTTTTATTCAAAAGCCCATCACTATGGCAATTATAATCAAATTGTCCTTGTATCCAGGTTGAAATATTGACTATTGATTCCTTGAGACACTCAATCTCTATTATTGTGGAAGCAGCTGGATAATTTAAAGAACCAGAGTCTGCAACATAACACTTTTCAGGGACTTTGGAGACTTACAGTTTAACCACTGTTAGCACACAAGCCACTACCATTATCTCCAACTGAAACACCTTCTCAGTAAAACAATCTGAGCTGCCATTAATTCTTGACAATCACCAAATGGGCTTGCTGTCAGACAGACTCCAGAACAGACCACATCATAGAATCCCTACAGTGTGGAAGCAGGCCATTCTGCCATCGAGTACACACTGATTCTCTGTGAAGAGAATCCCACCTAGATCCACCCTACCCTATTCCTGTAACCCTGCATTTCCCATGGCTAATCCATTTAGCCTGCATATCTCTGGACACTATGGGTAATTTGAGCATGCGCATCTTTGGACTATGGGAGGAAACTGGATGCACTCAGAGGAAACCAACGCAGACATAGGAAGAATGTGCAAACTCCACACAGATAGTCACCCGAGGGTGGAATCATACCCAGGTCCCTGGTGCTGTGAGGCAGCAGTGCTAACTGCTGAGCCACCATGCTGCCCTTTCTTTTTACATTACCTTAAAGATTTAGTTCCAAAACATAACAATCTTATAAATCACATTTGTAACAATATAATAAATGTTTAGTCAGTTTAAATATATTCCTGATAAGCTTTTGCTTTGGTCTCAAGGGTAAGAAAGTTGAGCTATAATGGGAAGTGGAGTAAATTGGATCTGTATTTTCTGGAATTTTGAAGATTGAGAGGTAATTTCTTTGAAACATACAAGATTATTATTATTACTGGGGGAGGTGATGGTCCGGTGGTATTTATCACTGAATTGTTAATCCAGGTAGTGTTCTTGGGACCCAGGTTCAAATACCACCACAGCAAATGGTGGAATTTTAATTCAATAAAAACCTTAAGAATGTAATGATAACTATGAATCCATTGACAATTGTCAGGAAAAACCCATCTGGCTCTTATTATTCTTTAGGGAAGGAAATTGCCATCCTTACCAGGTCTGGCCTACATGTGACTCAATGCAATGTGGTTGATTCTTAACTGCTCTCTGGTCAGCTAGCGATGGGCATTAAATACTGGCCTGGCCAGTGACACCCTCATCCTATAAATTAATTTAAAAAAAAAGGAATTTGATGGATAGATAGTGAGAGGTATCGGCTAGGGAATCTACAATGGGAGCCTAGTCATAGGATAAGGAGAGGTTATTTGGGACTCGGACGAGATTTCTTTACTGAAGAGGTTGTGAAACATTAAAGTTCCCTATCCCCAATGGTTGTGGATGCTACGTTAATGAATACACTTAAACCTGAAATACAGCAATCATTTGTATCTTAGGGAATCAAGAAATTTAAGGAACATGAGAGAAAGAGAAATTGAGGGAGGCATCATTGCAACAGTATTGTATTGAACTCTGGAACGGTTTTAAGGGGCTACATGGTATTAAATCTTGCTTCCTTTCCTTATCTTCTTAAATTCATGTTCTTTAGCAAGAATTTTTAAATGGTTCACAACTTAATCCCTCAGAGTCAGTTTAGTAGCATTGATGATTTTGCCTCCGTCTGGAATGCTCATGCCAGTCCCCATGATGACAGAGTGAAGGATGTTCAATTGTTGTAATTATACAGCCTTCTTCAAATGTCTCTGTTTTCTTTGGAAGCATAGGAGTTTATTCTGTTTGCAAGATATTTTGAGTTTTTTTTAGTGATAAATAATACCACAAAACAATACATGGTAGGTTTTATGACATTATAGATTTTCGTAAAACAAAACTGATTCTGACTGGGCTTGAGAGGCTAAGAAAAAGGCTGCTAAACATTACATGACTATACAACTGCAACTGGATTTCAGAGAGACATGTCAAGGCATGTAAAGACATTTGAAATGCTAGTTTTCAAACAGATAATGGAAGCAAGCGAATTCAAGCTTTGGGAGAAACAGAAAATGGGAGGAAGAACTTCGAAGTCACCAACATAATTGACTTCTTTGCTCTGTGGAATCCTATATTCCTCAAATTATACATTTTTACTTTAATCTATATTTAAAAACTATACTGGGCTAAGAATTGCCAGTCTGGAGAACTCCAAGAAAAGGCTTTGAGAAGCATCCTCAGAGGATGGAGTTTTGACCAATGGAGAACAAAGAGAAAGGGTACACAAAACCTACATACTTCTGTGTTAAAAGAAAGTCAGGCAATGTGGAAGTGTTAGTGAAGGTAAAGAAACCTTTTCTCCTTCTCAAAATCTGTTGCCATGCTGGCCCGTCTGGACAAGGAAACAGAAACTATTCAACCACAGAGATCATCACAGCTGCTAGATCTGCGTTCAAGTGTTAACCTCTTTGCTTCAGCAATGAAGGACACAAGCAGTAGGCCCTAAATGAAGACTATGGAGACATATTGGAACTTCCTTCTTAGCAGTATTCTTTTATCTTATTGTTACTGGTACAAATCTTAATATCTGTAATTTCTTGTTACTAACTTTCTGTCTTTATCCCTAAGGAATCTTTACTAATAGGTTGTACAAAAACAAACTTTAACCTGCTTAGGAAAATAAAAGTAATTCAGTGCTGTTCTGTTTTAATTTGAAGAATAATTACAAATTATAAGTGATGGGAACTATTCAAGCTGTATCAATCAACAGTTATCTCAATTGAGGTATAATATGAAATTTATAGATCACAGAATCCTGACAAAGTGGAAACAGGCCCTTTGGCCCAACAAGTCCACATCAGCCCTCACAGCATCCCACCCAGACCCATACCCATACCCCTATAACCCACCTGATCTACACATCCCTGAACATTACAGGCAATTTAGCATGACCAATCCACCTAACCTGCACATCTTTGAACTGTGGAAGGAAACCGGAGTGCTGGGAGGAAACCCACGCAGACATGGGGAGAATGTGCAAACTCCACACAGACAGTTGCCTGAGGTTAGAATCAAACCTGGGTCCCTGGCACTGTGAGGCAGCAGTGCTAATCACTGAACCACAATGCCACCCCGTTTGTACTCAACTGAAAAATTATCCAAAGCCAAAACACAAACTAAACCATGAGATTTGAAACAAAGTGATACAGGATGAAATTGATTTACAAAGAATTTGGAGTAGAGGAAAGTAATAGTTCAAACTGTTTGAAACTGATCAGTTTTACAGCAGCAAGTTTACATTTGTAAAAGTATTGCCAATAATTTAACTTGGCAAAATTTGATGTACAATATTTTATTGATCATTTAAGTCGATAGCTGTTAGAAACCTTAAAATGGACCATTTAAAAGCCATTGCTGGACAGCTAGGACTTTGGATTCTGAGCAAGTCAAAGTGACAAGGATTTTTGAGAATGCTGATCAACTATTTTGCTTTTAATCCAATGTCAATGCAGGCAGCAAGAGCTGAAATGGAACCAGATGAGTTTACTTCAGCCAAAACAGAGTTGAGAAAACTGGAAATGGAGGTGAATTTCAAAGCTTCAGAAAAGGAGCTAGAAAAGCATTCTCAAAAAGAGAAAGAAACAGTTAGAAACACAAGCTCAGAGGGAACAGTTGGAGTTTCAAGTCCAGAAAGAAAAGAAGGAATGAGAGGAGGAAGAGAGAGACGGGAATTTCCAGCTACAATACTTGGAACTGAAGCTACAAGCACAGAGATAGAGACCACAGAGAATGTAAGACTGCCGGAGAAAATCTCACACTGCTTAATAACATCCAAAACCTCTGCGACACCAAAACAGTTCCTGAAGGCCTAAAATTCTTCAAATTTGTTCCTGCATTCAAAGAGGGAGATGCAGGATCATTCTTTATTGCTTTCAAAAAAGAGAAGAATTACATTTATCATGGCATGTCTAGACACTGATCATCCAGTGTCTGTGAACAGGAAAAGTCCTTGACTCAGACAAAACAGAGATTGCTAGTGAAATTCAACAGTTCTGGAGCACCTATGAAGAGAATACAGAGTCAATGATTCAGGCCCAATAACCTTTCTTCAGAATTGATTGTTGCTAGGAAAAGGTGGTATATATGATGAAGATGGGAGAAATGAGTAAACGATAGGTGGAGATGGAACCCAGAGAGACAAAAGCAGTTTGACAGACAATGGAATGGATAATGTAGAGCCAGGGAGAAAGAAAATCTGCTAATGGAGACCATTAGTGTATAAAAATGGGTTGGCTATGACGAAAGCATCCCATGTGATGACAGGGCCCGATGTGTGGGGATGGGGGAAGGACAGAAGAAATTATTCAAGCCATAAAATTGGTGAACTCGATGTTGAGTCTTGAAAGTTGCAGGGTCCCAAGAAGAAAATGAGGTGCTGTTCTTACAACTTGTGTAGAACTTTGCTGGAGCACTACAGCAAGTCTAAGACAGAGATATTGATCAGGGAACACAGTGGTGTGTTGAAGTGGCAGGCACCGAAAGCTCAGGCTCTTTTTTTGGAGATAGAACGTAGGTGTTCTGTGAAGTGGTCACCCAGTCTATGCATCGTTTCCCCAGTGTAGAGGAGATCACATGGTGAGCAGTGAATGCAGTAGACTAGATTGTGGGATATGCAAGGGTTGCCTTGTTCGTAAGAAATGAACTTAAATTGAGAGCAAAAAGTGATATAGAGTCGAAAGACGTAGACTCTGAATGGGTAGAATTGAGGAATTGAAAAGGGGAAAAGACCCTGATGCGAGTTGTGGACAGGCCTCCTAGCAGTAATCAGGATATGGGAAAGAAAATAAATCAAGAGATAGAAAAGGCATGTAAGAAAGGCACTATTACAATAATCATGGAGGACCTCAATGTGCAGGTGGACTGGGATAATTAGGTTGGTGGTGGATCTCAAGGAAAGGAATTTGTGGAATATGTACAAGATGGTTTGTTTTGGAGCAGCTTGTGGTAGAGCCCTCTAGGGAACAGGCATTTTTGGATTTGGTGATATGTAATGAGTCAAACTTGATTAGGGAGCTCAAGGTGAAGGAACCCCTTGGGGTCAGTGACCATAATATGATAGAATTCACTCTGCACTTTGAGAGGGAGAAGCTGGAATTGGATGTAACTGTATTACAATTGTGTAAAGGTAACTGCAAAGGCATGAGGGAGGAGCTGGACAAAGTTGATTGGAAGGGGATCCTAAACGGGAAGACAGTGGAGCAGCAATGGCAGGAGTGTTTCGGGGTAATTCGGAAGACACAACAGAAGTTCATCCCAAGGAAGAAGAAACACACTTAGGTACTTTGCATCAGTTTTCATAGTTGAAGACACCAGCAGCATACCAGAATTTCAAGATAGCCAGGGGGCAAGGGTGAGTGTAGTGGCCATCACTAAGGAGAAGATACTAGGGAAGCTGAAAGGTCTGAAGGTGGCTAAATCAAACAGATCAGATAGACTACACATCAGAGTTCTGAAGAAGATAGCTGAAGAGATTATAGAGGCATGGGGGCTGATCGTTCTAGAATCACTAGAGTCAGGGAGAGTCCCAGAGGACTGGAAAATGGCTAATGTAGCACCCCTATTTAACGAGGTCGTGGGAGCAGAAGAAAGGAAACTATAGGCCAGTTAGCCTGACCTCTGTTGTTGGTAAGATTTTAGAGTCCATTGTGAAGGATAAGATTGCTAAGTAGTCAGAAGTACATGGTAAAATAGGGCTAAGTCAGCACGGCTTCATCAAGAGGATGTCATATTAGAATTCTTCGATGAGGTAGTGAGCAAGTTAGACAAAGGAGCACAAATGGACATGATCTATTTGGAATTCCAGAAGGAATTTGATAAGGTGCCACACAGCAGGCTGCTAAATAAGATAAAAGCCCATGGTTTTAGGGATAAGGTACCGGCATGGATAGAGGATTTACTGACTGGCAGAAGGTTGAGAGTAGGGATAAAGAGGCTTTTTTTTCAAGCTGGCAGCCAATGACTAGTTGAGTTCCCCAGAAATCATTTTTGGGATCACAACTAATCATGTTATACATTAACGATCAGGACCAAGAAACTGAGAACGCTGTTGCTAAGTTTACAGATGACACAAAGATAGGTGGAGGGCCAGGTAGTGTTGAGGAAGCATGGAAGCTGCAGAAGGACTTGGACAGGTTAAGAGAGCGGGCAAAGAAGTGGCAGATGGAATACAATGTTGGAAAGTGTGAGGTTATGCAATTTGATAAGAAGACTAGTCTGTAGATTATTTTCTAAATAGGGAAAGGCTTTGGAAATCTGAAGCACAAAGGGACTTGGAGACTCCTAGTTCACGATTTTCTTAAGTTTAACATGTCGGATCAGTTGATGGTTAGGAAGGCAAATGCAATGTCTGCATTCATTTCAATAGGGCTAGAGTACAAGAGCAGAGATGTCCTGTTGGAACTGTATAAGGATCTGGTCAGACCAGATTTGGAATATTGTGAGCAGTTTTGGGCCCTGTATCTAAGGAAGGAATGTTGGCATTCAAGGGGGTTCAGAGGAGGTTTACAGGAATGATCCCAGGGAAGAAGGGCTTGTCATATGAAGAATCAAAACATGGAGGTGCCAGCATTGGACTGGGGTGGATAAAGCCAGAAGTCACATGACACCAGGTTACAGTCTGACAGGTTTAATTGAAATAACAAGCTTTTGGAGCGTAGCCCCTTCGTCACTTCACCTGATTAAGGGGCTATGCTCCAAAAGCTTGTGATTTCAAATAAACCCGTTGGACTATAACCTAGTGTCATGTGACTTCCGACATATGAAAAGTGGTTGAGGACTCTGGGTCTGTATTCAGTTGAGTTTAGAAGGATGAGGGGGATCTCATTGAAACTTACAGAATATTGAGAGGCCTAGATAGAGTGGACATGGAGAAGATGTTTTCACTCGTAGGAGAGACTAGGACCAGAGGGCACAGCCTCAGAAAGGACAACCCTTTAGAACTGCAAATTTCTTCAGCCAGAGGATGGTGACTTTGTAAAATTCACTGTCACAGCAGTCTGTGTAGGCCAAGTCGTTGAGTGTATTTGAGACAGAAGTTCCTGATTGGTAAGAGGATCAATGGTTATGTAGAGAAGGCAGGTAATGATTAACCGTTGGAGCAGACTCGAGGGGCCGTGACCTAATTATTTCTGGGGCACTTGATTTCTTTTACTGTCACTCACGACGCCAACTCTCCATGACATCATAGAATCCCTACAGTGTGGAAGCAAGCCATTTAGCCCATCAAGTCCACACCGACCCTCCAAAGGGTATCCCACCCTATCCCTGTAAACCTGCATTTCCAATAGCTAATCCACCTAGCCTGCACATCTCTGGACTGTGGGGGGAAACTGAAACACCCAGAAGAAGCCCACACAGACACAGGGAGAATGTACAAATTCCACACAAGACAGTCACCCAAGGCCGGAATTGAGCCTGGATCCCTGTCACTGTGAGGCAACAATGCTAATCACTGAGCCACTGTGCTGCTCTGAACTGAATTGCTGCCACTCAATCTGAACTATAAGTACTTTGCTTACTTCTAGCATTCTCAACCAGTAAACCATGCCTTTTTTTTAAACATTGGTCCTTGCCTCCAAGCAATTGTGCACATGTAGCCTCCAACAGGCTGAACTTCAACTCAGGAACTGCCCCCACCCCAAAAGACAAACATCAGCCATAGAGTAACTCCAGCTCTAGGGCATTCTGAGCACTCTCCTGCTGCAGTGTGTCTCTCATCTGGTCTGAAATGCTTTTTACCATTGACTGTGGATTCTGTCTTGTTGAATCTTGCTACACTTCTGTCAGACTCACAAGTGTTCAGCTCATCAAGTTTCTTACTGTTGTATAAGCATTCTCCTTAAAACTTTATCTGAAGGAATCTTCAGATCTCTATGGGTGCCAGTATTTTGTGTGCTATGGCCAAATGGAGTCCACACTGCATGCCGCTATGTTGTAAGATCAATCCTGATTGGAGCTCATCATGGTGTAGCATCCATCTGATAGATATGTAGCACCATCCTGTTTCCTGGTGGGAGTCTACAGACCCCACTTGGTCTACTGTGGGACAGCACAGTTACAGGGTTGTCTAACAAGAAGAATCTGTTGTCTTAAACAAGATGTAATTTCTTGCATGATAGCATGAGGTACAAGTTACATCAGTGTAATAGACATTGTAATTAGACTACAAAAGGAGACCACAATGTTGGAGCTTACTTCTTCAAGTTCTAAAGCTGTTTCCCCAATGGGGTCCATGTGACATCATCATACTATGTGGTGCCTAATGTATTCTTCAGCATTAATCCTTTCAGACCCTTATACAACAACAGGTTTAGTAATGTGGGTGTAACCTCAAGCTGGTCAGTGAAAGGGTTGGCTGAAAATAACCTATGGGCTACAAAGTATTATACTCTCAAAACCCAAGGTGAACCCCAGTGAGGCTGAATGAGCTGAACAGTTTAAGCATGGTACTGAAGGTACTGTAGCCGGCTGGATAATGTACAGAAATCTCAAACGGGGCAGTACAAGTTTTGAAGGTTTGGAGTGGCTAAGCAAAAGTTAACAAAATTAAACAGGAACAAAGGTAGGCCCCAACCAATCAAAGGGGCAGTGACAGAGACGTCTCACCTTGGCAAAGAACCTGAAGGATATTACTTGGCAGTTCAAAGAGCTAAAGACAAGCCATGTGAGTGGAAAGAAGCAAAAAGGGATCTGTAGAATTGTCAATGTTTGCTTCCTCACAGAAAGAATTGCGACCACAAAGTGTCCCTACAGGGTTAATTGTAGCTAGTCCTGAGTCAAAAAGCTAATCAACACAAAGTGTTGTCAGCCCCTTCAGTCTGAAGTCTCAGAAGCTAGCTGCAGAAATGAGCCCAGCTCCCACCATGACTTTGACAACATGATTTGAGAGCCCACGGGAAAGCTCAAGATGTTAAGGAATGAAACACAGTCTCAAAACATAAAAGTTGTTCATGTTGTCCAAAGGAAATTAAATAAAATTGGATCTGAGTGGGATGAAGAAAAATTAAGATATTTCAATATATGCAACCAGACAGGAATATCAAATGTTCCTGATATAACTTAAACTCTAAAAAGAGACTTCAATCAAAGGGAGAATGAGTTGCAGACCCAGTCAAATGCTAACATTTTATCTCAAAAACAGAATCCAAAGGGTTTTAATCATGGAAAGGAATACAAAAAGGTTTGGATCAGTGCAAACTGTTAGAGTAGACGGTGAAAAGGGGAAGGACATTTTCCAGATAATACCTAACTAGAAAATACCTCATGATTCAGCTATCAGTGTATGCATATAAAAGAAACTTGTGCATGTTTCCTTTATCTTTTGTTTCGTTAATATAATTTAGTAAAAATGCAACTTAGATTTTTTTTTCCTGTAATGTAGGAGGTATATCATGAACATGGGATTTTTTTAAATAAAAAAAAACATGTGAACTATCAGGAGTTTGCAAACAGGCAATGAAGGTGTGATGATTCAAGCTTTGAAGAGAAAAAGCATGTAGGAGGGCGAATTCAAAGGGACACGAAAATAATTGATTTCTTTGCTTTGTGGAAACTTTGATATCTGAAAAACAACATGTTTGAAGCTTTGAGCTGTACAAAAGGGTTGGTTTGACTGAGGGAGGATGAAAAGAACAGGTATATCGAAATAAATACTATTCATTTGAAGGAAAGGCAGACAATATGAAAGTGCTAAAACCACAGAACTAATGAAAAACAAATCTCCCAAAATCTGCTGACCTGCTGGTCCCCCTGAACAAGAAAAGTGGAACCACTCACCTGCAGAAATTATCACAATGTGGAGGTGCTGGTGTTGGGCTGGGGTGACCTGACAAAGGAGCAGCGCTCCAAAAGCTTGTGATTTTAAATAAGCCTGTTGAACTATAACCAAAGTGATCACAACTGCTGGATCTAACTTAAAGACATGTATTAAGATATGTTTCTTTAAAAACAAATGACACATTCCCCTTTTGGGAAGGGGTGGGGTCCAGAATAGCAGGATGTAAACATAGAAGTCAAATAATACAAAAATAAGGAAAGATTTACATTCATACATTGACTTTCATAACCACAGGGTGTTCCAAAGTACTTTTTGAAATGTAGTCATTGATGCAAAGCAGGAAATGCAACTGTGAATTTGTGCATAGCAAGTTCCCACAAACAGTAAAGAGATAATAATTACATAAACTATTTATTGTGATGCTAAGCAGGCAATATATTTTGACCAGAGCTGATCTAAAAGACAGTATATCTAAAACAAACACCTCAGTACTTTGCACTCAGTTCTGCTTCTGTTCTCAAACTGTTGGGTGAAACTTGAACCCACAGCTTTGTGCCTTTGAGCCAATGGTGTCAGCAACACGTTCACAACTAAACAAAGATAACAAGGTGTAGAGCTGGATGAACACAGCAGGCCAAGCAGCATCATAGGAGCAGGAAGGCAGGAAGGTTTCGGGCCTAGACCCTTCATCAGAAATATGTATTAGCCTTCAAAAGCTTGTTAGACATTTTATAATACAAAAGCCTAAGAAACGATGATGGTTCATTGTTGTAATTTAAGATGATAGTTTGATTGTTGTATTTTAAGGTAATTTCATTGCCTGACCTAATCCATGCTTTATCAGGGCGAAGCAAAATGCTATAAAATAATCTCTTTGAGGCAGAGAAACATGGAAGGTGAAGTGAAACACAGGCTTCCTTACACAATTACAAGCACAAGCTGTTACACTATTACACTGCCATCCTTGAGCCACACGATTGTCGCTATACTGCTGCTGTGTTAATGGAGATAGATCAGGCTCTGCATTTTCCACCCACGGAGAGGTGTACTCGTCAGGTACACACACGCTACTTACATTCTAGTGTTAACAGCAAGTTAACGGAACACCTGCTCGTTCCTCTGAGCAGCTTGTACCGCTTCTTGTTACACTTGTCAAGTTAGCTCGCAGCGCCTGCCGATCCCCAACTTGAGAAACCTCACACCAAGATAACAATGAAAAAAGGTTTCAAGGTCCTCAGTGCCCGGACAAAGAGGAGGCATTTCCCCTAATTCTAATTAACCTGTTGACGGCTGTTATTGGACACCGCTGGACTAAACAGGATTTGAATTTCGGCATCCTGGTTCACAAGTAGGTACACCACCATAAGAGCCCCTCTGCAGAAGAGTTTATGTACAAAAAGAGGGTAGCCTTTCACTGGGAGTGCCAACAGGAGACTATCTTGTTATCTTGTTAACCAGATTTTCCTCTCTGAACTCTCTCTTAAGGCGGTGCTTAGCGCCCAGTTTAATAAACAGGAAAATGTTCCGATTTCACGGTGTGAACCAGAACTTGTATGTTTTGGATTCTACTTTCAATACCTCATGCAAGGGATTTCCAACATCATTCGGAAAAGCAATACTGAACATATGCGATTATCTAGCTCCCTAGCAGTTCCGTGGAACTTGTGCTAGCGTGAGATTTGAACATGAACCCACACAGAAGCTGATCTCAACACTTGAGCTGGCTCCCGCTGTGTCGATCGAGTCGGGAAATCTTGTGGGATTTAATCCAGCCTTCTTTACAGGACAGCTGGAAGCGGATCCAGTTTCCACCTGGATAACATTTTAATTTTAGTGGAAGCAGCTTACCTTGCCTCCTGTTTGGATTCCAACACTGGAAAGGGAGGGAAGACCCTCAAATACAAATGAGCGCCTGCAGCAGACGGGGAAGATCCCGAACAGACTGTGAGGAGCCCTTCTGTACTCAGCAAATGCCAACTTCCACAGGCAGCTGCGAGCGTTTGAGATGGAAATGCAACGAATTTATGTTCGGGCAGTTATTGGCTGACTCTCAGAGGGAGTTTGGAAAACCTCAGTGCAGTTTGAACGCGGTAATCCAGGTATCGCATAAAGCAATTTCTCATCTCACAACACTCAGCAGGAACGGCATTGGCAGAAAGTATTCCACCCTCTCTTGTGCTAAATGTTCCTCGTTACTGCTCCATTCAGTCAGTCAGTGTGGGGACATGCCTGAATGGGGGACTGCAATGTATCTTTTCCTTTCCGGCATCTCAATCTCCTGTCATATTTGGGCAGATGCTGATCTAATTTGCCCCGGATCCCACGTTCCATGCCACACCTCCAAAGTTAAGCCACTTACCGAAGAAAGTTACCGCGAAACCTTCCAGAACGCACGCCCAGGCGCCCAGAAAGAAATACCCGTAAAGGTTCGTGACAAAGCTGAGCGTACCACCGACAGCCGACCCCAGCAAATCGGCCACTGAAAGATTGAGAATGATGTAGTTGAGAGGCTGCTGCAGCTGCTTGTATCTGTAGGTTACCAGCAAGACAAGGAAGTTTTCGGAGAGCGACAAAAATGTCACGAAAAACATTAAAGTCGCCAGAACTTTGAAATTCCAGGGTTCGATGGTGTGCAGGGGACCACTGAAGGGATCTGGAGCCGGAGACATCACAGCGATCGCCTCGGAGAAGGTTTCATTGGCGGGTCTTCCCCAAGAGGAATTCATCTTTGTTTTTACCCAAAGCAAAGTTCACCCAAGGCCCGCTAACACTCACTACGGTCTGACTGGATGTCACCAAAACTCGTGAAAGCAAATGACAAATAAGACAATTCACTTTAGAGTTAAAACTGCAACAGTTGTCCCTCTTTCTATCTTGGGTCTTCTCTCCTGGTATACCAGGCGATTAATAGTCCTACCTCCAGAAGTGGAAATCTGTTAGCATGCTGTCTCTATAGAGGGAAGGGCTACCAGGAACCTTTTTTTTTATATAATGGAATCAGTTGAAGCTGGACTAGTCTTTACAACAGTGCGGCAAAACCAAGTACAAGTGGAATTAGTTCTGGGGGAGACGAGGAAGAACCTCTTGCAATTAAGTTCCACAAATTTCGAACGAGGAAATGGAAAAGAAAAATATTGAGATGTTGAATGATTCGGTCTAAACGTCATCCCCCGGAGGTTTACTGTACAAGTACAAAATGAAAGGGAAGGATATGTTCCATTTTTTTTCCAAACGTCAACTGCAACACCTTAAAGACCTGTCTCAAAAAAACAGTTGCATTTTTAATTAGTTGTATGCTTTGTTCTGATTTTAGGCGATCGATCACGAAGATTTAATAAATTAACCAATCGACGAGCAGTATAACATGCAGTAAAACAAGCTGGGAATCGACTGGATGGAACGCGAGATGCATTCTCCTAAGGAGAAAATTAGACCAAGCTCATCTTCTACCATTTTATATTGCAATAAACTTGAGTTCCCTCCAGCGCAATTCACACTCACTGATAATCGCTAAGAGTTGTTTAAAGTGGGCTTTACATTCTACTGCCTTCCCTCACCTGAATATTTCAGTTGCCGGGGGGCCGGGGAAGTGTAGCTTGTTGCATTTAAACATTTACAGCACATATATGCTTCAAAATCGATGACATTGGCTGTGGAATCACTGCTGATTACACACATTCTTTCGGGTGTATCTCAGAAAGGCCAGTGTGAGTGCAAACAGCCTAAAATGCTGAAACCCCGGTCTGACGGCTGGGCAGCTGCACCTTTAATAATTTTGCCAATCCACTTCCTCTCTATTTGAACACTGATGGATTCTTCTTTCTCGGACTGAATCAACAGCGTTGACACGGAACAAAATCAAATGCCAAGGTTTCCCTGCTCGAGTTCACAAATTCATTGGCCACCCGCTTGTTAGATAAGTTTTTCAGCCGACACTTCAGTTCCAGCTGGAGTTTGGATGACCTGGAGCACTCCACATTGGCTTATTCTAAAGGTAGAAAGCGGCACAGTCATTGAAAACAATGAAATGAGAAGAATACAACATAGCATCATTGCATCATTTTTGGTTATGCTTGGCAGTAATTGACCGTGCTTTCTTGTTTCATAAACTAAAAACAGGCAGAGAACTCTGACTATAATTACATTGGAACATCCAGAGCAAGCATAGACCCCATTCAGATCCTGGACCCTACTGTATCCATTAATAAGATCATGGCTGATCATGTTGTAAATTCAAGCCCACAATTCCACTTCACCCTGATAGCTTTTCAATCCATTGCTTAAGGATACTCTATCCGGCTTTGCCCTAAAAATGTTCAAGGACTCAGCTTCCATCACCTTTTCAGGAAAAAGAGTTCCAAAGACTCACCAATCACTCAGAGAAACAGTCACTCATCTCTGCTCTGTGTAGAGGCCCCCTCATTTTTAACTATAGCCCTATTGCCAGATTCTCCCAGAAGATGAAAAATCCTAATCACTGCGACCCTGTCAAGAACCCCAGGTTCATTTATGTTTCAATCCAATAACATATTACTCTTCAAAACCTCAGTGCATACAAACCCAGCCTGCCCTATCTTTCCCATGAGGCAAGAATCCTTTTGATTAAGCTATTAGTCTGGCAAATCTTGTTCTGAGCTATCTCCAATGCATTTATAGGCTTCCCTGAAATAAGGTGACCATTGGTGTGCACTATATTTCAGGCATAATCTCATCAGTGCCCTGTATGACTGAAACATAGCCTCCCTATTTATGATTTCAATTTCCCTCACAATAAATGAGAACATTCTAATGGCTGTCCTAAATACTTGCTTTACTTGCATAATGATTATTTGTGATTCATGCATGAGGACACTCAGATCTCTCTGCATCTCAGGATTCTTCAATTTCACACCATTCAGATCATTTTTAAACATTCTTTTGTGCCAAAATGGACAATTTCAGAATCTCCCCCATTATATGCCATTTATCACACCTCTGCCCATACACTGAACCTGTCTGTACCTTTTTGTAGCCTCCTTATGCCCTCGCCACAACATACCTTTCTATTTTTTTTATAGCATCATAAAATTTGGCAACCTTCTATCCTCATTTTAGTAATTTATATAAATGTAAACAGTTGAGGTGCCAGTATTAATCCCTGTGGCACACTTCTTGTTACATCATTCCAATGGGACCGGATTAATTTAGGATATCTGGTCAGCATGTACAGGTTGGACCAAAGGGGCTGTTTCCATGCTGTACATCTCTATGACTCTATGCCTCTATTCCAAACAGAAAAGTACCCATTTATGTCTATTCTCTGCTTCCTGTTAGCTAGGCAATATTCTGTACCTGTCAATCTACTGCCCCCTACATTAGGAGATTTTACATGACAATAATCTTTGATGCTGAACCTTGCCAAATGCCTTTTGGAAATCTATGTACAGTGTATCCATCAGTTTCCCTTAATTCATAGCACATGGTACCTTCTCAAAGAACTCCAACAGCTTGGTCAACACAATTATCCTTTCATTGACTCTGCTTGATTACCCTGTACTTAACCAAGTGCCCTGTTATAACATCTTTATTAATAGCTTCAAATGTTTTCTTGATGATTGATGTTAACTGGCCTACAGTTTCCTAATTTCTGTTTTCGCCCCTCTTTCTGAATAACAAATTTACATTTGCTCTATTCCTACCTAACGGGATCATCTCTGAATAAAGAGGGTTTTGGAAAATTTAAACCAATACATCGGCTATCTGACTATAAGACCCAAGGATGAAGTCCATCAGAAGAACCCAGGCACTTGTCAGCCCACAGCTCCAACAATTTGCTCAGTATCACTTCTCTGATGATAATAATTTTCTTGAATTTCTCTCTCTCTTCCATTCCTTATTTATCACTTCTTTTTGTATCATCTATAGTGAAGACTGAAGTAAAATACCTGTTGAATTTGTCTGCCATTTCCTTAATTTCTATTATTATCCTCCAGTCTCACTTTCTACAATACCAACACAAAATTTGGTTAATTTATTCCTTCTTTAAATATTTATATAAACTCATAGCATCTTTTTATTTATATTCCTGGCTGGGTTTCTCTACACTGAAATTTTTCTTCTGTTAATTTTTTTGGTCATTCTTTTTTTTCATATTCCTTCCAATCTCCTGGCCTGCCATTTGAGTTTGCACAATTGTATGCTTTTTCTTTTGGTCAATACCATTTGTCATATTTCTAGTTAACCATGAATGGTGTGTCTGTGCCTTGGAATTTTTCTTACTTGTTGGAATGATCCATTCTGTGCATTCTGAAATATCCCTTTAAATGTCTGCCATGGCACCTCCATTGATTTATCCTGTGAACTGACTTGTGAATTCACTTTAGCCAGCTTTACTTTCAAGTCCTCCCTACTCACTTTCTTTAAATATTAAACATATTCTCTCAATCAATCCTCTCACCCTCAGCTGAACGTAAAATTAAAACGTGTCATGCTCACTGCCTCCACTATAAATTCATTAAATAGTTCTATTTCATTGCACAAGTCCAGGTCTAGTATAGCCCGCTTTCTAAGCAATTCCATCTCGGGTAACATAGCCCATTAGATTTTTTGAGTTGAGGTCTAAATTAAAATTCCCCATGGTTTCTGTTGTACTTTTCTGACAAGCTTGCTTTATATCTTTCTTTATGTTCCACCCTACTGCATAGTTAATGCTAGGGGGCCTGTACATCACTCCCACAAGTGACTTTTTTCCTTTGTCATTTTTCATGTTTTACCCAAACTATTTCCATATCCTGGTTTCCGGATCTTAGTTTATCCTCTCTATTGTGTTAATGCAATCATTAACTAAGAGAGCCACTCCTCCACATTTTCCTAGTCTCCTGACATTCTCAAACGTCCTGTATGTTTCAGATTCAAATTCCAATCCGTGACACCTTGCAGCCATGTCTCTTTAATGGTAACCAGATCATACTTATTAATTTCTTTTTCACCCTCAGTTCATTTGTTTTGTTTCAATTGATATGTGCAATCAGTTACAAATCCTTTAGTCTAATTCTTGAATTCTCTTTGTCAATGAAGAATGCAAGACAGCATGTTAGGAGCAGCACCAATCATACCTAAGACTGAAAGATAGTAAGAACTGCCGATGCTGGAGTCAGAGACAACAGTGTGGAGCTGGAGGAACACAGCAGGCCAGGCAGCATCAGAGGAGCAGGAAAGCTGATGTTTTGGGTTGGGACCCTTCTTTAAAAATGGCTGCTGTGTTCCTCCAGATCCACACTATGTTATACCTAAAACTGAAATGTCAATCTGATGAAGCTGTAACACAAGACGATGTGTGCGCCTAACAGCACAAGCAGTGAGTGATAGACAGGCTAAAAGATTCCCCAACCAGCACAGCAGATCTAAGCTCTGCAGTGCTGCCACCCCAATCACAAATGTCAATGGTAGACAATTAAACAGCTCACTGGATGAGGAGGCTCCACAAACACCTGCATCCTGATTGGGTAGCCCAGCATATCAGTGCAAAAGATGAGGCAACAATCTTCAGCCAGAAGTTCTACGTCAATGATCCATCTTGGTCTCCTTCAGAGGTCCCGAGCATCGCATAAGCTGGTCTACAGCCAATTTGATTCACTGCACATGATATCACAAAACGTTTGGAGGTACTGCATACTGCAAAAGCTAATTTCCAGACAACCTTTTGGCCATA